CTTCCTGTTCTTCCAAAGGACCTGGGGTTCAGTTCCCAGCACTGACATGTCAGCTCACAGCCATCTGTAACCCCAGTTCCAGAGGACCCAACACCCTCTTCTGGCCTCTAAGGGCACTGCACACACATGGCACACATGCATGCAGTGAAACACTTATATGCAGCATAAAATAAAAATAACTATTTAAACAAAATTAAGAATGCTTCCTGCTCTTCCAGAGGGCCCAAGTTCAGTTCCTAGTACTCATGTTGGGTGGCTCACAATTGCCTGTAACTCCAGCTTCAGGGGATCTGATGCCCTCTTCTGGCTTCCATGGCTGTCTACACTCACAAGCAAGCACATGCCCACACACATACACACATAAATAAATAAAAACATTTTTTAAAAAAAGATATGAGTTTGCAGATGTGAATTCAAACAAGAGCTCCAGCCATTTCAGGCACGAGGCACCTGGCTTCATAACAGACAGCCAAGAGACATCTCTGAGATGCCCCAGGGAGCTGGCCAGGCACCTGCCATTTGTGCTACCAGGAAGTGTCTCCAGGGGCCAGCAGGTGAAAAAAGATGTCTACACACCATGATGCTACAGTGGACAGTGGTGCTACCCAAAGAGGAACCAACTTTAAGTCCTGAGCCCAGAATCCTGGGCCTCTGGGGCTTCTCCAAGAGGGCCAGAACTAGTTCAGGTAGATCCCAACAAAATGCACCCACCCCGTGTATTTTATTCCTCCATAAACACTGTTGTATTAAGAATGGTTTCTGCTTGAGAGGTCCGTAGGTGAGATGAAGAAGAAGCCAGTGGACTAAGACAAGGCTGCACTTCGTTCAGCCAACTGCTCGCTCTGTGACCTTAGCCAAGTTACCTACCCTCTCTGAGCCTGCTAACTCACGTGTTGACAGGGATAGGAAGCACTCTGCTGGAGTTGCCTTGAGGATATATAAAGAGGCTCAGCAGGGCAGTGTTTGGTTGGGTAAGTGTGAACTGTGGCTAGAAACATAACCTAGGAGGTGTTGGCTCTGTCTCCTGCTCCTGCCAGGTCTGTGCAGGCTCAGTCAGCTGCCAACCTGTTTAACAGACACAGCAGTCTGCAGCTAAAAGAAATGACAACAACAACAACAACAACAACAACAACAACAACAAAAAGCCTGGCGGAAAAGACCCTGGTTCTTCAGTAACAGAGCTTTCCCAGACTAGTCTAAAACTGACCACTAGAGGGCAGTCCAAACCCTGAAGCTGAGCTGAGAAAAGGCAGTAGGATTCAGGATTCAGGATTCAAGAGCAAGAGCATTAGTCTTCCAAGGTCTCCAGAGCACCATGGTCTGGGGGGCAGAGGCACTGAAGGGTCTGGGTGGCAACAAAATGAAAAAGCTCTCAATCCAGACCCAGGATGGAACTTGGCATCCATGGGGCCCCAGAAACCAGCAACAGCCTGGGTCCCACAGCCAAGGGCTGTCCAAGATAAGGACCAGAGTCCCATGGTTTACATGAGAAGGCCAGACATGGAAGTGTGATGTCACTGGACTGTGAAGAGGGGCTGACCTGGTGGAGGGAGGGGCAAGAAGGCTAGACAAGGGGTGTGGGGAGCAGGGAGAGGGAGCCGTGTGAAGAAGCTCCAAGTGTGCTGGGCGGAGATGCTACAGTCACCCATCCCCTGCTCCAGGACACAAGTGCCTGCTGGTCACTCTTTGAGGCCAGGAAGTACTATCACCTGGGGACACAGAGCACACATACCTGCTCCCTACCTGTCCACATACATGTGTGTGAGTGTGAGTGTGTGTACATTCCCTTAGTTATGTGATTTTTTAAGTATGTTCCCTGTCTAGCTTCCCTCATGTATCAGAGAGTCTGTCCACCACTGCATCCTGGTGTCAGGACACTGGGTGGGTGACAGGTGTCCCGGATGCTCTGTCAGTAACATTCCTGGCTGTGTGAACAATAGGTGGGCAGGCGCCTGAGGGGCAGTGGACTCCCCGGGCAGTGCAGTGGAGATGGTGAGGGAGCACAGGCCGGGAGCCCCATGAAGCTTCTACAGCACTGCAGATACAAATAAGTAGGCAATGTGCACGGGGAGGGCCCAGTCCAGGGAGATGGCTGAGCGGGAAGCTACCATCCACCCTGCCCAACACCACCACGGAAGGGCTCAAGAGAGCCAGGACTGAGCAGTTGCTGAAGGCTACCCATCACCCCGGCCCAGGCCATCAAGAAGAAGCAGGAAGAATTGAGAGGAAAGAGGGAGGCAGGTGGGCAAGAGCCTACACTACTTCTCAGGGCTGTAAAAGTTAGGGTTCTCTAAAGAGACAGAGCTGCTAGGGTACACATGTATGTACATAGCCTGTTCCCCGTGTCCATGAGCTCTGTCACCCATGGATTCTAGACTTCCTTTTCTTCTTGTCCTTAAACATGGTAGCGCCACTGTTCTCAGAGAACTCACACCATCCAGGTTATTATAAATCATGCCTGTAATCCTAGCCCTGGGAAGCTGAGGTAGGAGGATTGCCTAAAGTTCAAGGCTATCTTGGACTATGCATTGAGTTCCAGGATACCCTAGGCCACGGGATTGAGACTCTGTCTCAGAAATACAAGCAAAAACAAATGGAAAATAACGAGTCACCTTGAGATGACTGGACATGCTTGGATCGATGTGTGTGCTACATGTAAATGCCACACTGTGTTACAGAAGGGTTTGGGGCATTTTGGAAGTCCTGGGGATGGGACCCCTGAGGATCCTGAGAGATAACTGTACTTAGAGATGTATATACGGAGGCCCAGAGAGAAAATGTAAATACCTGAAATCATGTTTTAAAGAGCTGGTTTCCATAGTGATGGAGCAGCCAGGGTGAGGTCTGCAGGGAGGGCAGAGGCTTGGTGGGGGGCTGGTGCTGCAGCGGGAGCCTGAAAGGCATCTGGGGTAGAGCTGGGGCTTTTCTGTGTACCTCAGGCTTCCCACAAAGAGCCTCTGCTGAGTGGACAGTCTCCAGCTGATGTGGAGGGTCACCTCTTTCCCTAAAGGCTGCTGGTTTAACTCCATCCTAGAGAACACTGTCAGAGCAACACCTAGAGTTATTCGGATCAGCACGTGGTACCACGTCCCAGCAGTCTGTCACAGAGAAAGTCTGTCCTTCATAAAGCAAGCATGGGAGTGGCAGTCAGCCTCACATCAGGCACACGGACAAGATGGTCGTTATATTGTCTGCTCTGAGGTCCCCACCCAGTGTAGGCTTGGGGTGCCAGCAGCAGTATCCAAGAGTCCCATTCACTCCATGCAGGCATGGGACCTAATCCAGGCTGTGGGGTTCCACAATCCAGAATTGACTCTACAAGAGGCAGGCCAGATGAGGGCAGGGCCTGCAGGGCCTGCTTCCCTCTCAGTTACAGTCCGCAGCCCTCGGCCCTGAACTGCTCTGGGTGGGCATGCAACCCCTCCTTCTAGGAGGGGTATGTGTGGAAGGCGGTACAGGTATTGAGAGACTGATAGAGGAACTAAGAACCGTGATAGACCATCGCCATATCAACGCCAATAAGAGACTACCTCGGGCTCTCTCCCCTGTCCTTCCTGCCCACCTACCCACCCAGACCCCTTCCAGTCTATAAATGCTAGCTTTGGATGACTTAACATTGCTTCCAATAGCCTTCTGGGTGCAGCCATGTTGGCATAGCTCCAACCAGCCAGCTCCATCATTCCCAGAAATACAGGCTTCCCTGTCTGGGGGCCGTTAATGGCTCCAACTGCTGCTGGCTTGTGTCCAGGCCGCAGCCTTGAACTCGGACCCTTTCTTCCTGCACCTGGTTCATGAAGGCTGCCCTTCTAGAACTATCAGGTGGATTTTGTTTCTTGCTAGGGTACTGGGTGTCACACCTCCTGGCCCCATGGTTACAAGGTCATAGGTGTCACGCCTCCCAGTTTCATGGTTACAAAGTAAAGCCTGAAAACCTCTTGCTTTGTGCAAGGAAATCAGGCCTCGTCCTGGGTCACCTGGTACTTTCTTTGCTATGTTCCTAGGATGTCAAGGCCTGGAGAGCTCATCGACCATGGGGAGGGATGCACACCCTCAACTCCTCCCTGACTCTAGGTGTCATGCTGTAGACACACAGCAGCCTCACATGATCACCTAGTTTCTCCTGCAAAGTGGGAAACAGCCATCTCTAGGTAAATGTGTTAGCACATAAATGCTGATGACTAATATACACTTTTTAGGACCTTGGGTATATCATCTAAGATACCAGAAGGGGCCTGATGCTCGGTCACTCTGTGGTCTGGGTCTGACATCACGGGGAGAGCTCAGCGGTGGGAGTGGTCTGGGTCTGACATCACAGGGAGAGCTCAGCGGTGGGTGTGGTCTGGGTCTGACATCACAGGGAGAGCCCAGCCGTGGGTGTGGTCTGGGTCTGGCATCAAGGGGAGAGCTCAGTGGTGGGTGTGGTCTGGGTCTGACATCACAGGGAAGAGCCCAGCGGTGGGTGTGGTCTGGGTCTGGCATCAAGGGGAGAGCCCAGCGGTGGGAGTGGTCTGGGTCTGACATCACAGGGAGAGCTCAGCGATGGGTGTGGTCTGGGTCTGACATCACAGGGAGAGCTCAACGGTGGGTGTGGTCTGGGTCTGACATCACGGGCAGAGCTCAGCCGTGGGTGTGGTCTGGGTCTGACATCAC